AGAAATGCAGTTGAGCTGTTTCACCGTAGGTAGTCAGAAATCGTCAGTGGTGCATACCCACCTAATGGAATCATTAGATGTTGATATGATAGAACTTTAGTGCCATGTGGAACACCGCATTGGCCAATAACTCAGTGAATTTGCTGTTTCACCAATGCATAGGATAAGGATAAAACAGGATCAATTTTGAGGAATTTCAGTAGCATATATGTCAACTGAGACACTCCAGCCATTGAATGTCCTACTAATCAAGTAGGATTTAACTTAATTTCTATTCAACGTAGATAGTACGTATGCCGTACGCATTGTATTGTATTATAATGACTTATGCAGGCATCTATGCCTACATTTCAGTCAAAAAATGTGTTTGCCGGTAAAATGGGATAACAAATGAAAAAGGCATATACAAAAGGGAACAAAACTTAAACAGAAGTTAATCTTTGTAGGTTTAAATTTTGTTCGTTTTGGACCTTTACCTTGTTAGTTACAATACAGGTGATATATGGTACTATTGAATCGCGATGGATGTTTGCGCGGGAGACAAAGTAGAGATAATTGGATCGGGTTGGACCTCGAGAGCAGCAAGCAGTTATATCGGGAATGAGCGGATGACTGGGGTCTTTTAGTATCTTATGGATGAAGTTTTCACAAGAAGTAATATGAAAATCACACAACCAAACCGCGACGGAGAGTGACGAAATCCTTTTTAAGTAGTCCAGAGAAAATAACTGGCGAACAATATTGTATGACAGGAAAAATGCATTGATAAACGAAAGAAAATATAATTTCATGCTTCACTCTAAATTATCGCAGCTTACGTATCTGAAAGGATAGGCGGTGTAATCCACCAACACAGGTTAGCATATGAGAGGAGTTTGCTGTCCATGGTCACTCCTAGGTAGTTGATGGTGTGTTCTAGCGATGGATACGGGATTGACGACTGAGGGTTCCAAAGTGTATTCGGATAGGGAAGGACCAAATATGCATTCAAAGAATAAATAAGCATTCAACTGGAGTTCAGGTTGAACAAAACTGTCAGGAAATAATTCTATGTCAGATTGGTTTGAGATGGCTCGACATATGACCACACTATCGGCAATTTAAATGTTTTGGCCGGCGAAATAGAGGGTAAGTCACTGATGAATGTTAAAAACACGTATGGAGAAAGCGCGGCATCCTGAAAGACTCCATAATTATTAACTAACTGTTCTGAAAAAGTGGTGCTCATTGTGGTTCGGTTCCAGCTGCTTTCGTTAAACTTCCTGTCTGACCAACTGGTATCGTAGAGCAGTTCAGGCGTCAACAAAGGGTGGACAGAGCAAAACAAATTTTTAGATGAGAGAACTGAATGTAGAAATACAGTAAATAAATATAAAAGTCACAGTGTTCGTATCATTCAATCATTTTAACCGATGTTACCGAACATCGTTCGACCTTGCTCATCTATGCAGTATAGTATCATTTATAGGAAACCTGATGAGATTTATCTCATCGATCAAATTTTTCATATATTTAACACCGTTGATCCAACTTCAACCACTGCTTGTTCAGACAAACATCGAAGTCCGAGGAAATCTATCCGGTAGTCCGTCCAACAAATCTCAACCCTCATGATTCGAAAAAATCAATCAATTTTGTATGCGTGTGGCCGCGATCCCACAAGGCACTTCACTTAACTCGGACAGTGTTTATTCGATTGTCCAACCAGACCGATCGAACTTTGAGTAGATAGGGTTGCTGGAAAACCGAAAGTCTGTTTAACAAGCAGTTAGGTAGAACTGATCGATCTGTTGCCATGGGATCGGGAGGTAAGCGCAGAAGGTAACAGTGAGAGCCCTAGATGCCGAATCGCATGACATACGAAGCGCAGTCGAGAAGATGAGTTTTTGAGTCTGAACAATCCATAGTAATAAGTAAATGAGGGTCCTAACTGGGTGTTCTACAGAGATATCATACAAACCTCTGCGTTTAATTTAGAGTATCAAGCTTGGATTGGCCCATTCGATTGCTCAGAGACACTAGGCGCTCTTGATGTTCTTGAGTGTAGGTTTTCAATCCTTAGGAGTTCGTTAATTCCCCACGAAGTAATGCATTCAGATGCGATGGAAATGTTTGTGATAACCGACAAAGCACTGGTTTTGAAGTCCCTACTCGAATATTCGCGGTTTGAGCCCTGACAGGGACACGAGAAGTACGCACTGCCGATGAGTCCTAAACAGTGTGAAACAGCTGTCCAATGCTCTTTGTCAGTTATCACAAACATTTCCATCGCATTTTACCTGCGTTTAACTTTGCAGGTGTTTTAGTTAGGTCGGATTATTTAGGATATTGTATGCGAACAAGTGAAGAGGCCGTTTCAGTTCGATCAATCCATTGGATTCCGATTTGATTAAACAACTAGACTGACTGTTATTGATTTACTCTGAGGAGACAAGAGAGACAGGGACAAGACAGATGAAAAAGTGGGCTTTCAAAACGGGTGCCTGAGGCTTGAGTACACCGTCAACATCACGATAGCCCATCCCAGTGATGGGATTTTCTTCGAACATCATGACTCCAGGCTTTGCCTCAATATCGTTAACCGCAAGGCAATGTGAATTTTTAAGAGTGCGGAGATGATGATGAGGCTCCATAGCCTGGCTCACGAAACGTCTGGAAACAACACATCCGGCTGTCAGAGAATACACCACCATCCGCACCGCGAGCTACAGCCACATTTCACATTATTGGCAGAGCACGATCATATCAAATGAGCTCAAAAGGCCGAAGTGCCAAAATGAGCCCCCTAGCCAAAATAGTATTTGACATTGTCGCTCTTTCACTATCCCATTGTGTGGGCTTGATGCAAATTTCCTTTCCAAGTCCCGGGGCTATGTCATCAGCTTTCACAAGCGAACAACAAATGCTCGTGACCGACGGTGGAAGTCTCCTCCCGTCTNTGTAAGATATATGATAAAAAAGAACCACTTTTTAATAAGATATCAATTTTCGGATGCATGTCAAAGGCTCGTTCGGTTTTTCTAAAAAGTACATAATGATGTATGTCCGACTTTTGCTTCACATGTGCCTATGTCCACAACTCCATTGGAGCTGAATAAAAATCCAAGTTGTTGAATTTTCCGTGTGAGATGCACTGTAAGGGTATCAATGTGCATCCGTGTGAAGAAAGCAACTCAAATAAAATACCGAATTACCTGTTTCATACAAAATTTGAACGATGGTCAAGTCCCCGGTATAGCAGCATTTTATGCAATGCTGAAGGCTGGGTGGAGATCGTCCTTGTGATAGACAGGTTTCCTAATTAACCTTGCATTGTCATGAGTCTCAGTTGATTTTGAAATTCAGTTTGAACCAGTTCCTGCGTGCCCCGGGCTGATCAGCGTTACAAAGTGCTAGGATCTGACGTCAGGTTAAACATGCGAATGAAGATAAATTGCCACATGAAATCGCCCTTAGTCAGGAAATAAGTTTGACGAGTTTGTAAAAACAACACAGGCCGTTGAGCGAGAGCCACCCGAAAAAACCGAGCGTTTATTTGAATAAAACATCCATACCTGACGGGTAAATATGATGCTCGTAAACGCCATTGTGAAATGCAGATAGGATGTCTTTATGGTAAAAACACAACTTCATGATTTTGTGCTCGAAGTGTGTGTGGAGGAGGGAGAGGGAAAGGGCGGGAATGTAGTTTCCCGGTAGAACAGTAATCGCACAACAACGATAATCGGTCAAAGATAGGGCATTGTAAACGAATCAGCACCAAACGAATGGCTTAATTCACCACTTGGCTTCGGTTGGTGCAGCCCGCCTTCCAAGTTGGGGCCCCAGGGATGATAATTGTCGTTGGTTAGAGACGCCGAGAAATTTGGCCTAGAATAGCGGTCAGTGGCACGAATGCTGTACGGTCTGTCTGTCGAAATTCCGTGCCCCATAACAAAACGACAAACTAATACAAATATATCAAAAGGTGTACGGCAAAACAAACAAACCAAATTATTATTCTCGTTATTCAACTTAACTGTCTGACCCTCTTTTATTTTCTCGATAACAAATATATATGTTCCAGAAATAAAAAAGAATAAGAGAGCCCCCTCCAGCCTCCGAAGAAAACATACGGGAATAATATCTTCGAGTGGGACGTAAAAATGCCTTATTAAAGATAAGACATCAGGAGATGACAAACCATTTAGTAAAGAAAAAGGTAAGAAATATTCCTGAACACACGTAATCCATGTTCAAGTATATGAAGAATACGGAATAAGAAACCCAAAGAAAACTGGGGGTGCTGGCGAAATTAAGCCGCAAAAGATATGGAACCAAGTTAATAGGCGTCGAAAAACACTGGGAGCGTACGGTCCCCGTATCTGAGATCCAAACACACGCCAGAAATATTTTGTGGCATGAAAACCGACTCGATTTTTCTATTGTGAATGTGAAATTACTTCGTTGGTGGCCGAAGAGTAAACACAACTGTTTTGATGACAATCACATATTTGGACCACATAACAGAGTCAGAGGGTCACGTTATTCTACACGGACACAATGAAATGTGTTGGCAAATCACAAGAGCAGCGCTGAACAATAGAAAAAACGAGATGTGAATTGCCACACTCAGCACTGGACATCATTCGCGTAAACAATCAAACGATTGCCATTAGGGAATTTTAAAAAATCTGTTTGTGTAAAGAAAAACAGACAGAGGCTGGGAGTCCGCTCTCATAGGGCTCTCAGTTTTCGGAGGATAACCAGTTGTAAAAATTTGAACATTTTCAGCTCAACTGATAAAGAATGTATGATCAAATAGTTGTATAAATTAGGCCTGTGAGATCCCGGGTTCAATCCCCGGTTGGATCGATGACTTTACACTGCATGGATAAAACCTGACCAGGTCGAAACATCTGTCCATCTCTTCCTAAATTTTCAGCTTACGGCAATTTCATCATATAATGATACAAAATACGTTGTACAGAATCACAGGGAGCATTCGTGCATAGGTTTAAGTCCTACTGTGGCTCCCTGCGGACTTTCGTATGACTGTGACCAAGTAAACTTGCCGGAACATTTTATTGGGCAATAAACAAATTGGTTTACTATTAGAATCATTACTTTTTCGGTGCTTTTTTTGAAAATCAAGGTGCATACGATAAATGATCGACACATCACTTACATACTCACTGAATGGGTACCGGAATTTACGATGCTTGAGCTGAACAGTGTCTGTAGAAATTTCACTCGGTACATTAACAAGAGGATATGAGAGCCTACACAGGATCACATTACTACGTTTCACAGTTGACTGAAAAGAACCGTTTAACAACATAGGATGATCATTCTTGTGTTGGGCCACCTATTGTTCAGCTGCACACATCAACATTCTTCCCACGCTTAGAGAGGGGCATTTGGAAATCATTATGCATTGTAGGAGTCGCTTGTTGAATAAAATCCACAAACAACGTGAACGCATCAGTCCGAAATGGTGTCAAGTGATACAAATTCACAATTTGATTCCACTTGAGCTTCTCATCATGGGATTGAATGAGACCAGTCTCGACCTAGCCATTACAATCATTATTTACCTATTTTCCCAGAAATGAGTTTCATATATCTGCTAGCTAATCAATTTATCCTTTTTCTGAGCTGCGTTCAAAATACTTGGTTTTTGGCCCTACATCGATTTCCACTTGTCCAACTACCAAATCACCGCCTCTCCTCTCTAACCCCTGTAACAGTCGAACATGTCCGTGCACGATTCGATTATCAACCGAAACAGTCAGACGAATTGGAATTGCGCGTGGACGACCTGATCCAGATCCTCGATCGCAATCTACCCGATGAAGGTTGGTGGAAGGGGAAAAATTTGACCACGAAAAAAATCGGTGTGTTTCCGGATAATTTTGTTGTCCCGGTCGCCGAAACCGAAGGGGATGTGGTGGATCGAGCCCAAGTACGTTTTCCATCGTTGTATCGTTGTATCGTAACCAAATGGGGTTGGACGAAAACGGATCGGACGGTAACTGATACATGTTGCTATGTTTGACTACATTGTAGTTAGTGTTGAAGGATTATCATCCTGAGTATAAGTTCACTGAAGTCGTTAAAGACAGAAGGCTGATTGTGCAATTAATGTATTTAGTCAAAATCGTGACTAAGGCAAGGCTCTTACAATAAATTGAGACGTAGTAAAACAGATTTTTATAAGAGGTTCGTTCCCGTTTCTGGGATCATGTCAGTATTGTAGACTATTGTCGGCCGCCCAAACTACGTTAAGTAGTTGATGGACCTCACTATAGACATTCAACGAAATAGTTTAACTCACGGTGAAGTGGTGTTTGGTATCAAGTAATCACTCTCTAGTTCCTTAATTCAGTGTCATTGAAAACAATCTGTTTCTTGAAAATGTATTCTTTCTACCACACTTGAAGCTTCGCAATCGTCTTCTCGATTCTTGATTTACTTTTACTTATGAACGTCATGAATTTGTTCGATCACAATACTTCAGTGGATGAGTTCGAAAGAGACACACAAAGAGAGAATACAACTCATTCGGTTCATTTTTCTGTTTGAAAAACTCCAAGCCCTACGTCTGTTCCCCTTGCAGTTACTGTCTTTCGGCCATCCCGTTGGTCGACAAAAACAACTCCGTGAAATCGTGCGAAAACCTGATGGTATTACCAAAGATAACTACGTTACGAAAGACGAATAAAGTGTGTGTGTGTGTTTGTGTAAAACGTACATAGATGTGTGGGTCCCATTGTTCACGAAAATCGACCTTGTCACCAACAGGGTTCTAGCTCTTAATTTAATTGGTCAACACAGTTCTAACGGCGAAGCCTTATGCACCATACTGAGCTGAGAAGCGCAGGGTAGAACGCAATAGCAGGGTGAGTTATTGACAGACATATCAACTTTCTATATTTCACCACCGATGTCTACGAAGCATTGCTCGTGTCTGTTAAGAACATCAGGTGAGCAATGATGAGGTTCGTAGTCGTGTGTTGGGTGTAGATAGTCGCTCTCTAACGGAAGTAATCGCCCTACATCACCTCCGATGGCTTGATCACGTTGTACGTATGCCTACCCATCGGCTACTTTTCTATGCTCTCTTTGCACGTGCCGTGCAAGGCTGGAAGAATCGCCGCGGCGGTCAGACCATGACATGTGGTAGAGGTATGAAGAAGCTGGCTTCAGCTTTGGCTTCGGTTGGTACAGCCTGCCTCCCACTTTGGGGCCCAAGGGATGAGAATTGTCGTTGGCTACAGATGATAAGATATATGGAGCAGAATAGAAGTTAGTGACTCGAATGTTGTACGGTCTGCCTAAAATTCAGTACCCCATAAAAAAAATGATACACTAACGTACACAAAATATTAAAAAGTGTATGGTGAAACAAACAAAACATTGTTATTCTCGCCACCCAACTTAACTATCTGACCCCCTTTTACACTGATTTGTATCCCAACCCCCTATGTTCTGTTATGCTCGTTGTTGAGTTGGCATCAAGCTTGCTCGCAAGTCGTCTGACTGAGAATCCGACAAACTAATTAAAATTTCGTAGAATTTCATAGGCCACCAATAAGATTGTGGCTTGAACTTGATAACCGTCCACACCCATGTCTACAGTTCGATCCACGAATGTCACGCGGAGCCGATCATGTTTTGCGTGCTGTCCTGTTGCTTACCGAACCATCGTGCGTTGGAAAATCGGTTGAACGTCCCGCTTGAACATCTTGTGTTTAGTGTTACCATGGTTTTGCTGTTTAAAACAAAGAAACAAACAAATAGCACGGGGCTAGGTATACGTTGAATTCTTAAAATCCGGGTAGACAGATACAGATACAGTGGTGATGAGAGCACACACATCGAAAGACAACCCCCTGACTCATCTATGAACTTACAAAGATCGTGTGGTAAGTCAACGCATTTCGGTCAAAGGTCATGATTGTTTTGATACCAGTCACTGACCGCATTACTTCAACTGTCGAGGGTGTGATTCACAGGATTATTTCAAAGTCATAATGTCTATGCTGCTCTGTTTTTGGTTACAGCGCCTAGATGCTAATTGCCTCAGCTATTGTGTTCCTTGATGCCGGGACCTTCAGATGATCAGTCGGAATGCTGTTTCTCTCTTTCTCGACATGCTGACCTACCCCTGTACCGCTAGTGCGTCTGAGACCCGAGCTCAGTAGGATATAATGTTCATTGACCAATTGAGATAAATCAGTCACCAAGTGTCCAATAAATGGTCCAACGATTTCATCTTTTTTTCAAAAACTGTGCTGATTAGTGGTCGGACACGGATACACGATAGGCGGGCTGCATTGAATATTCCCCACAAATATGCATCACTTATTAGCTGACCAACCCCG